TATATATATACATATACATACATACATGCACTATTTTTTGTTCTATATTTTTTATTTATTTTTTATTAACACACAATAATATTAAGGCTGGCATTCGCTTCTGCTCCCAATTCATTCCAGTATGGTAAGATCAGTGGGCACTGCCCAGCTGTTGCCAACTTTGGCCTGTATCCTGACTCTGTCTCATTCTGATTTGGTACCCTACTTCCCTGCTTTTATCGCCCCTGGGCTCGTTCCCTGGCTATGCTCCTGCCTCTTGCTCTGGTGCTGTTGTGTTCCTGTATTTGGTTCCTGCCTGCTGGAATACAATCATGTGACCCTCACACAACAACCAGTACTGCCTGCAACACTGGTCCTCATGCCTCACTCTGCATCCTCACATTCTATGTCACCACTTCCAGGGGTGCTGGAAAAGAAGTGCAGTCTGCTCCAGGTATGTGACACAGGATCACCAGCTAATATTTAAACGTAAGCTGCAGTTTTAAAAAAAAGAATAAAAACATCTGTAATTACATTAACTGGTTAAATTGTATATGCAATTTTACTAATTAGGTTTAGATATACTTTCATGTATCAAATGTAATATTTTTCTTGACCCATGTGCTATAATAAACACACAATGAAAACTTCTTGCCGTTTGGGAAGTGCACTTTTTTTTCCTCATTACATTTGCAGATGCTGGCGAATCTCCTGGTGAATAGAGGAGGATAATAGACTAGGTCACCTTAGAGGGATATAAGAAACTGAATGTTATTTAAATTTGACAAGTTTCACTGTGGTTTTCTTGAGAAAGAACAGCTCAACTCACTTAAATGTCTGTTTGCTTCTAATACAAACAGAAGCAGTTCACTCCCCTGGATTCAGGGCATTCATAGCTTTTGGAGTGCAGTAATCATGATTCATTCCTTTTTTATATGGTGATTTGGCCACTGTATTCATGCTAAACCTATAATAACACTCACTAAATGTCTTCAAATGTCAAACTAGTTAAGGGAGGAATAATTTTGGCATAAAGCAATTGATGTCTAGCCCTTTACACACAGGTGTTAAAGGGTACCTGAGTGAAATACATCCTCTGAACAACTTACTGCCGCCTCAATTGAAAGAAGAATGTAATTAGCTGAATAACAGAACGAATATTTGCTACTTGTGCAATAAATGTAGTGGCAGGGGAGTGAAATAATGCTGCTGGGGAGGAAGGAATTAAAGTGAACCTGTGCTCAGATCATGCACACTAAAGTATTTATATATTCTAAACAAGCAGCTAAAGCACTTTAAAACAAGCCTCATTCATCTATGTATCTATAGGCATTGTAAAGAAATGAATTTTCAAGTTCACAACACATTGCTTTTTTCTATGGGAAAATAATCTTGGCAGACTGCCAGCACTCAAATGTAAACAACCATCAGAAGTTTCTAAGCTGAAACTGATTGACCTGACCAACCAAAGTTTAGATTTTTTGAGGATCTTTGAGAAAGAATACATTCACATTAAAAGCAGTTGGAGAGGTCAGAGGTATTTTAAAGCTATTGTACTGCTTCTTACAAAATTTAAATAGTTCACCATTTTTATATTGTGCCATGGTAAAAAGAATGGCAGGTTGGTGGGCTTAATTTTCTGGAGTGTCTTTTATTAACAGCTTTGTGTTTGTTGGGTGTGCACGCATTAGGAATGCACAATATGCCTATATTCACATTTTAATTAGACATCACAGATCAAAGAAATATGTACAGAGTCAGAGTGGCCATGTGCCCGAGGCCCATCGTTCCCTTCTGGGCACCGAGGACCTCTATGGCAGGAGTCAGGATGGAGAGCTGTGGCAGATGAGTGAACATCCATTCACTGATCTTTCTTGTGAAGAATTAACCTGTAAGCACTCAGTTTCTAAGCCGTTCTGTGGGTTTCAGAGCTGTCAATCTTCAGCCATTCAGACCAGGGATGAAGCTTGTTTAGCATCAAAAGAGTGCAGGGTTGACATTAGGGTTTTAATAGACCCCCTGATATCTCCTTAAAGTAGTATTAAACTCTCAAACTTTTATTCAATAATAAATCCAGATCAAATATACACTGCACTTACAGCCATCATGTTTCCAGACAGATGACAGTGGAAAAGCTGGCTTTTAACATGACAGGGAGGAAGTGGCCTTTTCTCTCCCTGTCAAAGGATACTTTCTGCTGCTCACAAATGTTGTAATCGTGCCCAAGCATTGCATCCTGGAAAGGTTGCATCAGCAGTGCATTGCTGGGAAATCTCATCTGTAATCTCACGCGAGTCAGGGAAAGGCATTTTTCCCTGGATGATGGACATGGTCACATGTCCTAGTCACATGTGTCAGAGTTCCAGGAAGTAAAGGGGGATCTAGTAAGGTTGCCTTAGTTAAAATGGCCACTGTGAGAAGACTGGGAAAGAAAAGAAACTAAGGTATGAAAAAAATAAAAAGCTGCCAATTATCTAGAAGTATGTGTTTGTAGTTTTTCATTGAAAATATAGGAAAGTTCCACTTTAAGGTGCTTTTGGAATAGGACATTTAAACTCTTAAATGAGCTTTTAAAGTTTCGCCTGCCTAGGGACCCATGGATTGCTCTGCTGCATTTCAAACACCCCTCTCTGACTTAAAGCTGGAAATGTATATTCTCATAGCAGCTAAATAGAGGATAGTGAATGCTTGGAAAAAACATCTTACCTCTGTTGGGGAAGTGTGACGGAAAGTTGACACCTTTTTTGTTAATGAAAAACTGACAAGTATCTTTACCAACCCACATAAGGAATTTCTGAAGGTTTGGGATATATTATGCACACCCTGCACTCTCGAGGATCAGCTTAAAGGGTTAATAAACTCTTAGCTTTTTTGCATATATCTACTGCTAGCAAGCAGTAGACATATGCAAACAATTTTTTTAAAAACCCCTTTCAAATAGGTTAAAACGTAACTGTCTTCGCCGCACGCTCCCTTCCGAACATCTGAAGAGTCTTGGGTGGCCACAAAGGATCTTGGGGCGGGCGCATTTGCAGTTCAGATGTTCGGCCGGGAGACGAGAAGAGACACAAGGTAAATCTATCAAGCAGCGTCCACCTGCACAGACTCCGTGGGACTGGAAGCGCCATCTAACACAGATGAGTCAGCGCTGGATCGGAGACCCGCACCAGTGCTGAAGGGACAGCTGAAAGCGACAGTAAAGAAGAAGATGATCGAATCAAGAGGCATCATAAGTCCCTACCGCAGAATTGGGAAGGGGCAAAACAAGTTTGACTTTATTGTCACTTTGTAACAAGCTGCCACATTATTGTGCGGAGGCTCTGGAGGCTCTCATGCTGCATTTCTTCCTATTCACTTCTTTTCTTCTGTTTTACGTTCAAGTTCTTTGTGTCCTTTCATTTACTGTTGTTTGTTATTCAACTCCATCTTTATGTGGATTTGGGCTTCTTATGGGAGCCGTGGTACTCTATACGATGGTATGTGGTCATGGGATGTAGGGGAAGTTAGTTAGAAGGAGCCCTATTTAGGGGACATCTTTAATGCTAGCCCCATGTCTTTGGTCATATGTTTTAATTATGCTGATAACCTGAGTCTCAGTGTACTAAATCTTTATAGTGAATTGTACTACAGGAGGGCTCTAATCACTCTCCACCCATTGGGACTTAGAACCTGGAATGACCATACTTGTTACTGTTTTGAATTGTTACTTTGTATGTGCTTTAAAAATTGATTGAAAAGAAAACTGAAACATGGCCTGGGAATGAAGAAGTATATACAGGCGGTACACTGCATTCATTTTCTTTTTTCAGAACTTTATCCCTTATTTTCACAGGATGATCCTGCCAGTGACACACTTCTTGTCCTAGGGTGACAATCCTCACTTACTGTCATGTGTCTAAGGAAAATCAGATCTTTCTGATCTGGACTACAAATACCTCCTCTCATTATCTGTATTATAAAGAAGGAGGTTGCTTTGTAGTTAACTTAAGATAGGTGATAACATTGAGATTTTGGTTCAGTTCACAGTTTACAAGAACACAAGATTATTTACAGCCACAATATATATATATATATATATAATCTGTGATCTTACTCCCGCGATAATATTTTCAGGCCTACTGACTGGCTAATAGACCCAAGCAATGTCCCAGGGGAGGAGGTTTTGGCTTGTATAGGACATTAAGGGTAACTGTGATGTCACTTCCTCGATAATATGCTCAGGCCTAGTGGCTGGCTGATTGACACATGCCTTGTCACAGGGTAGGTTACATGCTCCCCAATACCTAGGTAAGTATTGTTGCTGGCTGCAATGGCAGGGGAGCTCTTGAAGGTGAGAATCAGGGGTTCAGGGGAAGCCCTTACAAATACATTGCTACTGAATGGACTAGGTGATAATGCCTCTTTAATACTTTGTCACCCTGTGCCACTATTATTATCCGGTCTGAAAATTTCCCTCTGTCTTAGCAGCAGCTCTGACCTTTCTTTTCTTGTCTACCACTGACAGTAAATTCTGGATAGCTTGGTGCCATCCTGACAAATTTTTGCGCAGCTTCCCCACAGGAGCAATGCCCTTACTCCCCTAAAAGTGTCCCTAGAAGATGGAAATGCATGTGTTGCACATCTTAATCAGAATCCTGATTTGTAAATAAGCAGAGGTTTCATTGGCTTATGGTGTGGACAACACACGCGGTTCTCCGTTTAGACACTTGATAAATGAGGGCAATTATTTTCCCTGTCATAATTGCTGAGGATCAAAATTAATGCCGGTTCAGTATGAACTCTGTGCAGTTTGGAGAGAATGCTTGGAAACCATGACAAAGAAGCATGAGAACAGGCCGATGTGCAGCTTTGAAACTGCTGTCAAAGAGAATAGTCAGATGGCTGCTGTATAATGCTGTGGAATTATACTCGATGGGAGAGGAGGTGTGCTTTCTGTAGCCAAGTTTTTTTTTTTTTTAAATCTTGGCACAAGCATTGTAATCTAACAGAGAGAGGAAAAAAAAACTACACAGGATATTCATAGTTTCTTATTTTCCTATATAACTTCTGTGCTCTTTTGAACCAATAAAACCAGCTCTAGCTACAGCTGCATGCACAAAAGTAATATATACTTAAACAATAATTCAATAAAAAAACCCTGTGGTGCTTATCAATCCTCTATATAAAAAGTGCTCTGTGCAAAATCCTACAGTGCATGCACAGCATATATAGTGTTACAAATGATATCTCATTGGCAACATTCAAAGTGTAACACATATCTTTCCTCCTACACAACCTATTAAAGTGCTATCATATAAAACACATTCCAATCACATGTATCCAAGCAAAGATGTAACAAATCTCTAATCTCTTATAATGTGAGTTCGTACTTACCGTGTTTCCCCGAAAATAAGACCTACCCCAAAAATAAGACCTAGTTGTGACCATTCCCAGGGCGGGTGGTGGCATAAGGGGGAACTTGAAGAGCCTCGGGAGAGAGAATCAGTGGTGCCAACTAAGCCAGCCCTAGAGGAAGCGAGGCGGCAGCGGAGGGAGCAGAGCCGCATTAGCTGATGCTTCCTCTATAGCACCGTCTCCTGTCACAGGCGGAGTGATACCAAATGCACTCCGCCTGTGAGAAATTGATAGTGAAAGCGCGCTTCGCTCATTCTAGCCAGTGATTGGTTACCAAATTGCTCTTGGAAAGGTACGGCATCAGGCCAGAATTCAGGATTTGGAGAGTTATGACGATGTTCCAGAAGAAGATGACATGACTGTATTTGAATAAATGTACAGTATATTTGTGTACATGAATACATGTAGACAGTTGTACATGAATAAGTGTGGATTGTTGTACATTAAAAAAAATAAGACCCGAATAATATTTTTAGATAATGGAAACACAATAACTATAAGAACACGAGCTTTGAGATTGGGATAGGGAGGGAAAGGGAGTAAAAGGATATATAATATAAATGGTGTGGTTAATTGACACATAGACATCTTAGTTTAGAATATTTCAGTTAAACACAAGAATAGATTGGGGAATTTATAAAGAAAGGTGGGAAAGGGAAAATGGGTGGGGATATTAGGAATCAACATTTAAGAAGTTTCACACAAATTCACATAAGAGTTGCCCCCCCCCCCCTCTCTAAAGGAAGAATTGGTAGTAGATTGTTGTGATAGGAGAAATTAGGTAATTGTGATACAAGATGTGGTGAGAGATAGTACTAAATATATGTTTCTGGACAAGAATGAAAAGGAAGTAATAGATCAGATTCTGTCTAATAAAATATATGATATATATGCTATGTATACAGCAAGAAGAAATGTTATATCTTTACTTTTTATGGAATGTGTAAATGTATTTAATGTGAAACAAGAATAAAAATATATTCAACCAAAAAAATAAAATAAGACCTACCCCAAAAATAAGACCAAATGTGTTTTTTTTGAGCCCAAAAAAAGTGCCTTATTTTTGGGGGACACACGGTAGCAGAAAGAATCAAACAAAACTCTTCAATCAAAGGCTACAAAGTGGGAGTATAGGACCCTAATAAAGTCTCTCATGGCAGTTCCTCCACCCAACTGGGCCTTGAAAAAACTCCCAATTAAGAAAACCTTGTCCCCAGGCATAGTACTTCCAGCTAGAGCTGCAACAGTTAATCGATTTAGTCGATTAAAATCGACGATTGAAAACGTTACCAACGTTTTCGATCGTCGATTCGTCGGCTATCGATTGATTTCCCTGTTCGGGGCTCTACACGCGGCCTGAAGCACATGCTGCTCACGTCCCGCTGCGCCCGCCGTGCAATATACAGCGCAATGCAGAGTAACGCCAGCTACAGAGGACTACAAATCCCAGCAATAGTACATATGTAGTATAATGTAGTATTGCTACATTCCTCTATAGCTGCTGGTATTCTGCACTGCGCCGCTGTATTATGTACTATATTGCACACCACACTCTTTTTTTTACTTCTACCGCGCCAAGCTTGCTGCCGTGATGGACTACAATCTCACCGCAAACTAGTAGTCCATCACTGGAGCCTTTTTTTTTTAAAAATCCGATTAACCGATTAATCGAACTTAATAAATCGGCCAACTAATCGATTATGAAAATAATCGTTAGCTGCAGCCCTACTTCCAGCAGTTACATCTCTTGCAGTGATGACAGTCTAAAGTCCTTGGATGCCTTTTAAAGGTTTTATAACAACAGCAGAACAGGGGAAGAGAGGGCTGGAATACCCAACAGCAACACATCTTCTCTTAAGCTAGCAGTCCCTGAATAGAAACAGATTCCCCCCACACACAGTAGGCAGAAGTAGCTCAATTACAACTGAGGTTTCTGTGTTTCCTCTGTACCAGGTATGACTGCAGCTTTGGACCAGTGGATGTTCAGGTGTTTTTCGACTGTCCCCAGTAATATCTCCTTAAACTACTGGATCATCTTGGGTTAGGCAGATAGACCAGTGGAGGCTTGTGGGGTGCACCAGTGTCCCCAGTGACTCTATGGTAGTAGCTAGATGAGCATGGGTGACGTCCTTCTTAGATCTCCAGTAGAATTCAGTAGCACATGGTAGGCCCTGAGGGCCAGAACCCTCAGGCCTGGGCAGAAGCCCATCACCTATTAGCAGGGCTAAAGCCTACAGACTAGCAAGCCCCAGCAGCAATCATACTCAGGAGTTTTGTTACAGCCAAATCCAACCCAGTGATGACAAGCTTAGCAGTGATTGGCTAACTAACAAAAGTCAAGGCTATCCATGATGTATCCTTGACGCAGTACTCTGGTCCTTCAGAATCTGGCAGATTAAACAACATAGACAGCCACTAAGTAACCCTACTGGTGAAAACAGATCACTACAGCAAAACCCCAAAAATTCAGTGCAGGTTTAGGCAAGCCTTAGGGAACACATCTCTAAGTATACAAACACATATTTAAAGAACTTGGACCTAAAAAACATTTACCCTTGCAGTGGGGCTACCCCAACATTGTAAGTGTTAACTGCTCATTTTGCTCTAGGGTCTACACCAAAATGAGCAACTAATCCTTGTAGTGCGTGGGTAGCACCACTGCAACATTTGTTGCAGCACTCAGAACATCAGTGTCAAATGATGTTTCCTAAATATTTTATTCTAGATGTGTTTGCAGTGTAACTGGTGTTTATTATTGTATTGTTTGCAAGAGCTGTTTGGTTGCCACACTTTAAACAGACTGTATGGACTAAGGTTGGCCATACACGTATAGCTTTCTCTTGTATAGCCTGCAGGCTGATTGAGAGAGGTCACTCAATTCCCCCATCCACGCTAAAGAGTGCGGATAGAGGAATCTCCTCTGATGGCTATTGTATTCAAAAAGCCACAGCTCCCACCGCTGCCTGAATACCTGAATAGTGACTGCATTTGACCAGATGCAGTTACTATTCAGACAGCGATTTTCCACCTGCATCCTTCGATTTTAAAAAACACTTTTGTCAAGCCAGGTAGTGCCGACAGGGCTGCCCATGGCACAAATTTGAGCCCCTGTCCCTTATACCCTATAACAGATGTGTTGTGAGATGGTGTACACAAGGTATGAGACACTATGGGGAAAATGTTCCTTGTACCTCAGTGCAGCCTCACTAACATAATATACCCAATAAGTATAATATTCAGTAACTGAATTTCTCTGTAAGCTGCTGCTTAAATGTACTTGATATGAAACCTTCACAAGAATGTATTGGTTAAGACTCAGACTTATGAGAAATGTGAAAGGAAATGCAGTTGCAAATTATATTATACATAGAAGTCTGTGTCATACTAAAGGGTCTGTCAGCTGCATTATTTTTCCTTGTGAAATGGCAGACTGCACACTCTCGAATGTGAGTTAAATCCATAGAATGGCTTTTATAACTGTGCATCAGTAAATTGTTCACTGTAAATGCAACTTTTACAGAGGATTATTTGCACCAGTAATGCGTATCCCCTAAGGAGCCACAGCCACAGTTTAACAGGCCCTCTTAGCCTTTTTACTGGTGCACTGGTTACTGCTGCCCCAAATCACTCATCAACCCACCAGCAGTAACCGATAGCCGACATCCATTCTGTCAATCTTTGCTTACACAATTAATTTTTTCAAAGTCCAAGGGAGAGAGGGTTAAGGGTTACAGGCTACACAAACAGTGACAAAAATCCCTCCACTTGAATAGACTGATATGTTCTTCAGGCAGAGTCTGAGAGGCAAAAACACTTCTAGTAGGGCTCCCCAAATGTTAAAAGAGAACTATGGCCAAACGTTTTTTGGCCATAGTTCTCTATAGGGTCACAGGAAGACATTTACTAATGTCTTCCTGTGACCCAAAACTCAGCATATAGCGGGCTATTGCTGGCTACAGCCTTACAGTAGTCAGACTTGTGGTACTCCAACTTTGTCAGGGCCAGACAGGGCCCACATCTAAACTGAACAAATAATACAATCCCAATTAAATTTCAGAAAATATCATGACTTTCTGTAAAAGACTTAATGTTTTTGGAGCTCCCATGTGTATAACCATGGGTCATATCCATGTTTAGTAATTAAACTTTTTCCCTGTAAGTGACCATTCCTCCTCACCCCAATATAGCAAAATAAGTTTGGAATTGGAACACAAACCCCTGTTCTCATAAACCACCTTTCTTTCCTGTGCGTTCTGCGTCAGTCTCTATAATAGTGTGGATGCTACAGACACAACTTACCTCTTACTAACTGATCTCTCTGCAGGGCAGGCAAAGACAACATTTTATTCTGCCTGATTAATGGCTTATTTACATATTAGCAAATTTCATGCATTCAGAACTAAGACAACAGGTTAAAAGGTAATATTTACAGATCTCAGCATTTGTCATTGAAAACTATAAATGGAAATGTTTTGGTTCGACCAGAGCCCTTAACATGTTAGTTCACCAATCTCTACATTTTTAAATGTGGTAATGTAAGGCAGGGCTGTAGGACAAACCACACACTCTTTTAACTTCTAGCTCTGTTCACTCCTATGAGTGTCTGTGTGTTGTTGGTGCAGTGCAATGTATGTGTGATGTGCATTGTAGGCTTCATGTATACATTTTACATATACTACTTTTGATGCCTATAATTAGCATTTTTCTGGAAATTGCCCAATTGCATCAAGCAGAAACTTTGTGGGCGCAGTACTGCAGTATATTGCAGGTGCAGGGACGCACTGCACCTGCAATACACCTAATATATGTACAGTAGATATGAATAAGGCCTCCACACAATCTGGAACTTTTCATTGGTATTTGTCTACAACCTCACATCTGAGGGGACTGATAAGTTAGTGGGCACAATAGCAATCAGACGGGTTAAGAAACTTTGTTGAATCATTGCTTCCCCTTGTGCTGGCAGTTTCTACTCCCATCTTCCTCTATACACATGAAGGGTGATCATACCATTTGTTTTTATCCTGCAGTCCGCATCCAAAGGTGTGATAAACCTACCAATGGCTACTGCATGTGAAAACTCACATCTACACACAATGTAAACATGAGTCTGAACAAAGATGAGCTCAAAAAGCCCAACAGCCATCATAATAGTCAATTACATAGCATTTCACCATCCCCCATATTCCTCCTAAGGAAGGAATACTCAAAACCATGGTGCAAGCAAGCAGACTCCAAACCAGAAATGCTGGGACTTGGAATCCACCTGCAGCTAGAATGCTGCATGTTGCTCTGCCTGACTTGATTATTAAGGAGACGTTAGCGAGGATGTTTTTGCCGCACACAAAGCATGTCTACAAGCCTCAATAAACACATAACATTCCTTATACGTTACTGACACTCATAATTAGATTCCCAGCATGAAGAAGCTGACATCTTTCTAGCAGAATATTTTTTGAGACAAATAGACACCGGAAAAATAATATAATGTTACAGATTATCGCTGGACCCTAATTTGTAGTGCCGCCTTTTGCTCCAGCAACATATTTCAGCTTCTTGGTGGCATGCATTTGTTTACTGTAGTGCGCCATACAGTAGCATAAAGAGAAAAAATGAAATATCTTGTTGTTTGTACTTTTGCCATTTAGGGAAGAGTTAGGAGATGTGCCAGGTACATCCAGCTGTCTGCTCGCAGATATAAAGAGAGAGCAGCTGCAGAAGTATAGATTCACAAAGACAAGCTGCACCTGCTAAAATAAACATGGCTTTGCTATATGGAATTAGTAACAACACTGAATTTAGAAGCATTTAAAAATGTGTATGGACTGGTAAAACTTAGACTTTATTTTAGCAGTAGCAGCATTAAAGAGAAACTATAGTCTTTTTTTTCCAAGTCTTTAGTTATATATTTGAATGTAACCAGATCTTACCAGCAAGAGTTACAATTCTACACGTCTTGCTCCTATGCGTGGTTTGTAAATGTATGTGTGCATGGGGGCAGCCATATTAACTAATTATATAGGAACGCCTCTAAGAAAAGGAATATGAGAGCTGCCACATGCTGATTTGATTTTTTTTAAGGTGCAGGTTCCTGGTCATCATGCTTCTTGTGTGTAGCCAGGATTTTCTAGAATTTTCACCCTACACCTGATTCATGTCATTCCCAGCAATGTCCCTGAGAGGTACATGCTTGGTCAGATACTTAAAAAAAAGGCTGCATGAGGATCAAGGAATGCTGGGGTGTAGTGTTATTTATTACAACAAATTGTATTTATACAAATTGTATGCATGGTATTGGTGATGTAATTATAGTAAACACAAAAAAAGAAAAGGATGGCTACAAAGGAGCCTGGGGCTTTAGAGGTGTCAAAATATATATGCATTAGTAAAAAGGCTTGTTTTATTTATAACAAATATAAAACATATTTAAAACCATTAGGCCATAACAAAAAATTGATTATGTATAACAGATATAGGATAGAGCAGCCATATACATATCTTGGTCATAGTCCACAGGCTTGAAAGGATAAAGAATCTCAGTAGGCTTTACGCGCTTCGCAGATATATGTATCCTCAGAAGCCTTTAGTAGAGATCTATGGTTCAACAAATCGTACATATCATATACCTCCTCTGTATAAACCAAAAAACATAAACATTTTCTCAGATAGTATTCTCTATCGATATACATAAATAGCATATTGAGGGTGTATATATGCAATGCAATGAGCAAGAGAGCTTGAACAGAACCATATAAAGTAAGGAATATAGTGATACAATATTTTACCTCACCTTGCTATGTGATCCAACAAAATGGCCATGAACGAAATCCAAGTAGAAGGGAGGTCTATAGATGTACAAAATCCCCCATATGTGGGCTTTCTGGGGAGACCAGGGACAGGACCAACGCATGCCACAGTCAGGCTTTGTCTATATGCATAAACCTATATGATATGTGCATTTGTATGATATCCTATTATCCAGCAAGTAAAATATAGTCCACAATGTCCCTCACCACTCAAAAGTGGCCAAAGAACAAACATCCATGGCAAACTCAAATAGAGCCAAAGTTATCCACTCCTGATATACAGGGAAAGATGATATCCATCCATTATACTACCAGTATATACAATATACTATTTGTCCTCAGCATAAATTCCCAGCGTGAGATCATACATATAGTCTTCCTGCAATCCTTAATATAATAAAAAGAAATGAGAGTTTCTGCAAAAAATTCTAAGTATAGAGAACTAATCTGCTAATAGTATCTCTTACCCTCTAGTATTAGTCCTGGGCATCCCACAATGAAAGTGACAAGCGGCATCGGGAGATCTGCTCCCTTATAATTCCCCCGGGGAAGACGTGTAGCACCAAACGTGGAGATACGTGTGACGCCACGCGTTGTTCACACAATCAGTGTATTGGATGGCAATGTGCCATTAAAATGGATCATTGACTAACAAAAACTGGTGTGCTGGTGACATTATTCCTTTATTCTGTGGTTCACACATCTGATCGCCAGCGCACGAACATGTGACCGTGACCACACTCATGGAGGAAATATCTCCACAGGACCCGGCCAAGTCCATTATTATTATTCTCCAGTAATTATACTAAAGGTAGAACCTCCCACTTAATTTATACACCATTATAATGGATTTTGGGCAGTATTATGATCTGGAGTTGCTTCAGTTGATAAGGTCTAAGTTCAGCAACCTTTTTTTTTTCTTATCTGACGGCATTGAGAATCTTTGAAGGTGTGCTGGTGAAGACTTTACACAGAGGTCTAACTCTCCCATCATCTCTACAAGATTTGGTGAAAAATAATGCAACTCTTGGAGGAAATAAATGTTGTGACAATGCATGAGCTCATGGAAACCATTCCACGCCGAATGCATTTCATATTTAAAGTTAAAGGTGGTCCAATGGAATATTAGAGTGTGTGACTTTTTTTTCATTTCGGCATACAGATCGATATGTTATATATGATATGATTGATTGATTTATCCTATTCCAAAATCCACAAAGCAGAAAGAGGTAATAATTTGCAATGAAGTTTGGGAAAATCCTTTCAATGTATACACAGTTGACTTGCAAATCCTGTCATTTGATAGACTTGCACATTGTTGGATTTGTTAATTATATTAATTTATATTCTGCAGTGCAATACAGAGAATGATTGAACCATTTAAAATCAGTCTGTCCCCAGGTATATAGCTTACAGTTTTACATCAGTACTAAACTCATTCACACAAGTCCACACTAGAGTCTTATGAGTAGAAGATATTGAATCTACTAGCTTGAATTTTTGGAATAGAGTAAGCGTGAGCTGTAAGAAATCAATTTTAAGAATAAAACAAGATTGCCTATTGAAACAACTGGCACTTAAACTCAGACATTTTGGCCATATAACACAAAGACACAATCAATGATGAAGGCTTTGTTATCAGGAAAGACTAGAAAGAAAAGGAAAAGGAGAAGAGACATTAGAGACAAAGTAACATAAGCAACATAGCTTAGCCAATGTGCATGACCCTACAAGTGATTACAGAAACAACAGCTGACAAGCAAGCCTCGTGTGAGGACCACAAGATCACAAAGCTTCAGACCCGACTATACATCTAAACAACAATACCAAGTCTGAACAAAGTATTTCTGTAGGAAAGATCTCACAATCAATATGTTTAAATAATAAAAAAAGGAAATAAAAAGGAACAACAAAAGATCTATGGTGAGTTCAATGTATCTGGTATCCTTGAATCTAGAGAGAACACAATCACTTAACATATTGAATTATTTAGTAAAAAAAGCAGGTTGTTTATTCAGTCTTCTGGCAAACTGAATCAGATTCAAACCCGTTCTGAAAAACAGTTACAAAAAGAAATGTAAAGACAATCATATCTGTTCTAACCCCTTAGTATTAGGCTAGGTTCACATAGGCAATGGATGTATAAAAGCATTAAGCTCCAATACATTGCAGACTCTGTTCAACCCGCTCTGTCATTACTCACCCAGAAGGCAATAAAACACTGGGATATAATTGTACAAAGAAAGCATACAATGTTTGGGCTAGTAAGCACAAAAAGAATGTCCAATAATTGTGAACCTTGTACTCAGACCCAATAGTAAAGATACTTGTCAGATGGTAAAAACTTATGCCAAGCTCTCCTTTGAAGCCCGTGTGAGCCTATATTCTACATGTCAGTACATGTCAGTAAACCAAACTCATAAAAATTACAAATGTAATAAAAATGCTAGTTTATTATGCATACAGCCTAGATTTAGAAATATTTAGTACTGTACAGAACAACAGCGCTCGTCTCTGCAAAAACTAAAAACCGCAGCTTGTATGAGCTTAGCAAATAATACAACCATTAAAATAGCGATATTTTGTGCTGAAGAAAACCAACATTTTATCATTACAATACTGTGAAATAGAGCACTGCCTTCTCGAAAATGGATAAATAGCTGCTTACTTTGGCTGTATTTGTGCTATGCACCAGCATTACTAGAAGTAACCTTTGCTACATAAATGTGAAGAAATAATATATTGTCTTGCCCACTTTCTATAAAGAGACATTGTCACTTTACCAAATTAGGGTGGAGTAAAAGTGTCTACAGATAGCCCACCCCTATAAACTTTTATACTTACATAACCACGCACTCTCACTTTCTCCCTGATGTAGCATCCCAGCCTGTCTTAGCTGTGACATTGGCTGGTGTTGGAGCATAGACGTGGGATGACATCCCACATCACAGTATTCGTGCCTGGAAGTGCAGTGGGAGTAAGTGTAACTGCCTGGGGGTGGGGGTGAATTGGCGGCTTGCAGAGTCTCTTTAAAGAACTGCATTTCAAACCTTTATTCTTACTGTTGGCTAAATACTGTTTATTGTGAATTAACCCTTTGCACATTGCTATTCATCTTTACACATTCCTAGCAAACTCCAGCATAAAACAGGGATTCTTGGTTCACATACATTGCAATAAGCTTGCCAACTGCGTTAATGTGATCCCTCTCTGGCCAGTCCCTACTCTACTGTGCAACATGCCAGATATTGGATTTGAGCACAGACATATCTCCATTTCTTACTGCTACCTTACTGCTACCTGTACAAGCTTTTTCTCATTTCCTTTTCTGTTTGACAGCTATCACCTGGGCAGGAAGTAATGGAAAACATGCCTTATGGTTATACAGACAGTAATCCTGATGAAGGTTTTGAATCTTCTTTTACTCTACTGGCTATGTGTTTTTATTGCTGTCTCTGCCTGGGGATTTTCCTCAACATCACTGTGTGACAATCAGCAAATAGGCAGGAAGGAGACATTTTCCAAAGTTTTGTTGGAGTTGGATGTGATAAACCTTTAATTTTTGGATCATGTGACAGTTTTAAGAAGACAATGCTGTACTCAACAGTGAAATGTATTACCATCAGTTGAGAAAACAAAGACATGAAAAAAAAACCACTTACCATGACAAGTTCCATCCACTTCCTCATATCCAACACTGCAGACGCAGCGTCCAAGTGGTACCAGCCAGTCTCCATCAGCTCCACAGTAAAGTTTAGGGGTGTCTCTCTCCTCTGCATATTTGATACAGGACCCTCGAACTTCAACAAGAGAAGATGAATCCACCCTTGGAATAGTATCTGGAAACATAGCCAAGTTTCGCACCATGTACGGACATTTCTTATAGTAGACACGTACTGACACCAAAGCTATACAGGCTCCAATATCTTGAAATGCAAGGTAAAACCCTTTTCTGGTAATTGGCCCCACCTCTCGGACCTCAGTGTTCAGTTTCAGAATGCGATCCCCCAAATCCATTTGTGTGAAACTCTCATCAGCTGCAATAGTATCGATCTTACTATACTGATTGGGCTTGAATTTCACTACATGGGCATCATCAGATTCCATGTAGTAAAGGTTAAAGGTCTCCTTACAAGTCCCCACCACCCAAGGAATGCTGTTACAGTCCCTGAGAGTAAACTTCATCTCCACAAATATCTTCTGTGCTGCATCCCGAGAGATCCAGTTAGTGCGGAGCCAGTTATTCTGGTTTGCTTCCATGACATTACATACTTGGTATGTATGAATAGGCCGATTATATTCATCCATTTCTGTGATGGCATCCCACTGCAAAATAATCAAAATGTATTATTAATATGAGGATTAAAAAAGCAAATTCCCTAGACTCAAATATATAAAATAAATAAAAGAACCACCATAGCCATATTAAATCAATTTCATAAACTGGATTAAGATGTTGCAAACCATACACGGGCAAAAGTGTAGTAGATACAAGATATAATTAGTACAGAACATATTTAAAACAAATGCGGCAAAGGAGGAGCAATTGTTTCCTAGACAGTATCGTCTGATAGAAAACAAAATACTACATTTTCCCCAAGCCAAATAAATATATTGCAAGCACTTCCGCAATCTTCTTGTAAAGTTTACGTACTACCATTACGCTAAAACTGACTCATGTAATACAGTCATATACTACTTTCTTAGTGAGAGGTCTGCCTGTAATCACATGATCTGCCTTAGATTTATATTAAGAAAAAGTGTTGGGCTTTGAGCCAGTTGGATAAGTTACATTTCTGAGGGCATTCTGCCGCCATGGTTATAAATCAACCTTTGCATTTTATGACAGTTTTAGACACACCACTGCAGATTGGTACTGATAGTGTCTATTAGCACTGAAATCCAAAATGGCTTGTGTAGACAATGAGGAATCTTCCCCTAGTCCACACTGCATTGGCTCAGGAAGATTAGGGCATCTCGCCCTGACATGTACTTTTGCGCCGCACTCAAAACAAGTTATAGAGTTTCTCCTAGGGTGGTCCTCTTTCCCAGGGTTTTGACTTCTCGAGTCTGTTTTGGAAAAACGGGCTCCCGATCCGAAGTCTGCTTCCAATCCACTCTTCCGGTTTCCCAAAAATGTGCCTGCCAAAGTGGATCCAGTACTCAAAATAGCCCCTATGTGAGCATACATAAATGGCTGCCAAAAGGATTCCCACCTGCTTCTAAATGCCTGTTGTTTACAGTGCTGTCTATAAATGACAAAGATTGTAGTCAAAAGGTTTTTAGCCTTTTTTCAATTCTTTTTTTTAACCTTTTTAAACTGCTAAAAAAAAATGCTTAGCCACAGTGTATCTGCCCAGCTGCGTGAGTGACAGCTGGCTCTGCCTATCTAGAGGCAGAGCCAGCTGTACCCGCCCCCTCCCCCATCCATTCCGCCAGTCAGTGCTGGCGGATCGGAGCGGGGAGGCAGGAATCCAGCCCCTACCCTGTCACGGCAGAGAGCCGTGACAGGATCGAGAGGTGAGCGAACGCCGGTATGTGTTCGCTCACTTCCCGATCTACTGAGCCGACCTGTGACAGTCTCATTGTCACAGGTCGGCTAGAACTATGAGGTGAATGAAAAGCACTCACCTCATAGTTCTCCTTTAAACCATTATCTTTGGTGTTATTATAGCCGGTTAATATACTGCCATCTTATGGTCGTTTTGGTTATTGCACCATTTATGATGTATTCCAGAAGTAGTAGTTTCTGGCATCAAAATGGCTGACTGTAACATGGCCACATATTAATCTGCTGCATGCTTGGAAACACTACCATCTTTGACCTGCAAATACCGTCTGTTCATTCATCTGCTGTATCCTGTTGTTTGCTGTAATAAAGAGCTTCGTGGATGAAAAGGTATTTGGTGAGTTCAGCTATTGTTAAGAATTGTCCGCAGTGATTATATTTGCTTATACAGGCCAGGCATAGAGGTCTCAGCAAGGGATACATTGCTAATACAACAATCGGAGTCAGAATACCCTTACTATAGGAATTTATTGAGGGGAATTTATCAAAACTGGAGCAGACAAAATCAGGAGCAGTTCCCCATGGCAACCAATCAGCTTCTATCATTTTCACTATGGGCACCTGCTCCAGATTCTGTCTGCTCCTGTTCTGATAAATTTCCCGCATTATGGGAGGAATTTATCCATACTGTAGCAGACAGAATGTGGAGCAGTTGACCAACGTAACCAATCAGCTTCTCTTTTCAGTTTGTTCAGTTAAGCTATCTGCTCCAGTTTTGATAGATTTCCCTATATGCCTTTGTCCATAATAGCGTGTAGCTTTTTTCAAGCCTCTGACACTTTTAGGAGTTTGTAGTAGGCCTTGTACTGGCTCTGACATCAACGAAGCATACCTACCAACATCTTTGTCCCATTCACTGGGACACAGTCACCCTCGTCCATGTTCCACACTTGATACTCCCATCTTCAGTGCAATGCCATCCAGATCATGCCCACTTTCTGGGTGGTCTAATTATACAGGAACTGCCCATGAAATCAGCTAATTCCTTTTTTTTTAGTTGTTGTGCATGCTGCATCAAGGGTGATGCTGTGATCTCAGGACACAACCTGGGACACAGCAAAATCAGGACAGGGATTTGGATTTGGGACCGTCCCAGTAAATTTGGGACAGTTGGCATTTATGAAAGGCTGCTGCATGTGGAGCTTCCAATGCATGAATTTGTGTATGGCAGAGCTCCTTCAAATTATCATTGACAGCAGTAAGTTTAGATGCTCTGCGCAGGCAGATAAAAGTCAGCCTTTTCCCTTCTGTCACTTGCAGAGTGCTGGATGATTCATAGCCAGCAGCTGGACACCCTGGTGGGCCAGGAGATGGAAGGAAGGACAGACTGTCCAAAAGTGTCAAAGGTTAAACAAAAACAACTTTGCTCTTACTGACAAAAAAGTATAATGTATTGCTACACCAGGGCCACATCAGTAAGCGCTAACTGTAAACGTTTTATTTCTGTGAACGACTTGAAAAGTTTTTCTTGATGACAGTGCCTCTTTAAGATTCACCATGCTAGAATGCAGATCTACCATCAGCAGTCTGTTATGGCTTAAAGGGTGATTTCTCCTACACCAGTTTGAATTCTGGTAAAATTTGGCGTGCTGATCCACCAATATTCTTGTTTTCTTTCTCACAGATCACTCAGTTTAATGTTAAAGTGAACTTTTTACCATTCCCTGCAGTTCCAAATTCCTTTTCTCCAACCTCTCTATTACACAATCACTAACCATGTTCATGTTTTGTGTATGATATATGCTATACAATTTTGCTCCTCCAATCGCTCGTTTCTTGCAGTAATGTATCCTCAGCCGCCCGAAGCCTCAAGGGACATTTACGTTACACATCCCAGAAGGCTGCAGTAAGTGTGGAAGTATTGTGAAACTACACGCCTGCATAGATTGTGTAATAGAGAGGTGGGAAAAGGGAATGACAGAAAGTATAGTGAAAGGTGAATGGTCTGCTAAATATTTCCTTGCTTTAGTTTATAGCTCTTCGTTTGCTTCCACAGAGATATAAGTGGCACAAACTCAGGAGTTAAAACTTAGAAATCAATTCAAGTACCTTAACTAGTAACAAAAATGTATCTTATTTGTGTATCACTCGGCTGTAGATCTTCAAATCATCTCTGAATTGGTGCTGACACTGTCCTTCCCTGGTGGGTGACTACTTTTGTTCCCCACGGTTCCTGTGTGTGTTATAAAGAAGCCACCACTCCAAGGCACCACACCACTCATGTGATGGACTACAATCTCAATACAAACTAGTATACTAAATGTGAGCTTATAGTCCATCCCCTGTGTAAGCTTGATACTTTACAACACACACAGGGACCATGGGAAACAAAAGTAGCCCCCCCCCTCCAGAAGGAAGGACAGTGTCGACTCAGCACCAATTCAAAGATGATTTTAAGGAACTACAGCGGAGTGATACACAAATAAGATACATTTTTGATAATAGTTAAAAGGTACTTGAATGTATTTTTAAGATTTAACTCCTAAGTTTACTGTCACTTTATTTTTTATGCTGAAAAATTGAGTCTCACTTCTTTTCTTGCATTATCCATAATATAAACTAAATAAAAGATGTATCAGGAAGAGTACAACCCCATGTAACATTAGCTCCTGCAGGACCGACCAATTAGAGTACACATTACTCATATGGTCTTGCCTACTAGGTCCTCAAGAGATACATAAAACAGGCAGATGATTCAGCATGGCTGCATCTACTAAAATCTGACATAGCAGTTTGGGTAGACCAAGCAACACTAAATGGCTAATAAAAAAAGGCTTTCAGAGCACAGAGGACCCTCTGCCAGGTGTGTTCGTAAATGAAGGCCGAGTTAGTAGACTCGTATATACATTTTGAACAAAGACATCGTACATAAGAGGTTACAGGTATTGAGTGATGTACTGATAAAATATAAATGAGTTACAGATGGGCAGGTCTCAAAGTAATAATGAAGTCTAATGAAGTTATCACATTTGATACTGGTCCAAGACTTACGGTATATCTTTATGATATATGTTTGCACTGAGTTTCTGCTACAATTTCCTTAAGGGCCAAAAAATATAAATTACATAATTATCATAAGCTAAATGTCAGCCACATTTACATACTGGTTGTAAGAGTGCTGCCAGGCAAAGCAGAACAGAAAGTGCATACAACTGTGCCAGAAAATAAACCCCACTAGCTGGTTTCTCCAGCAATTACTACTTTTGTGACAGGTACCCTTTAAAACACATAAAACTGCTACACAGCAAGGTAACATTAAAATGCTTACAGATGTCAGACAGAATACAAGAAAACAACAACTAAGCAATATTTGTCTATTTTTTCATTAAAGGGGAAGTATAGTGTAATTTGTGCAGGCACACATTTGAGTAATTTTGGCAGTTACCCTAAAGAGACACTGTCACCCTGCTTATGCAGGGCAAATATAGGGTATCTGCAAATAGGTCTGGAGGACTACCTATACTCACCTTACCAGCACTCCATGACAGCTTTTTCCACCTCTGCAGAAGCAACCAGGAGGGGAGTGGTGATAGTGGTCCCTACTAGCATTTGGCTACTAGGCCTGGGCAATGTCACAGGGGAGCAGGTCACTGGAACTTCTATGGAGTGCAAGTAAGGGGGGTATAAGGGGAATCAGATGCTGTCCTTTGGAGAAACACTGTAAGGCTTGACCCCAGCAGTGTTTTCTGGGGTTTTACAATCCAGTCAAAGGCTGGGATCATCTTTGGCTATGCCATATTCTTGGATCTGCTGGAGA